ATTAGTTTTTTGATAATGTCTCGAATATCGTTACATTTATCTCAAATCTGTTGAGGGTTCATCATGACAAAATGGACCTATGCCGAAAATTTCAGAAAGATCAGTTTGACCCATACCTGAGTTGTGTCCTCTAAAACATTTTTTTGGGATAGCTACATGTACTGTCATCACTTGAAGTCCGTCGATTTTGACCGGCAACCAACAGCATGGACACTGTTACTAAATAACGGCAACAGTAGTGTACCGGTTTTCAAAGGTCATAAATCGATTGAGAGAAAACAAATCCGGGTTACAAACTAAAACCGAGGGAAACATATCAACTGTAAGAGGAAAATAAACGAACAATAGGAACACTAAAGTGAACAAAAATAAACCCTTAACATACATAGAACGAACTATTTGATAACAACTGTCATATTACTGAATTGGTACAGGACATTTTAAGAACAAATGGTGGATTGAACTTGGTTTAATGGCTAGCCAAACCTCCCGCTTTATGACAATGTTAAAAATGTCGCTGAAATGATAACACTACATGACAGAAATACAGATCAAACACACGCAAGAACATTCATCACAGAGAAACGCACAAACAAATAATATACTACAGTGTAGTAATAGTCGCAAAACATGTAAATTGCAGAACAACAACGAACATATTTCATCAACGACAAACACCACAGGATATAAAAAACAGTTACGCGCTTACGTAACTCACGTGCAATCTCGAACTTTATGCAATTATTTCCCCAATACTATACAAATAGACCACATAGCGAAATAACAGATTTTTGCCTCGCCTGCGATGAACGTCAAAAATAACTAAACAAAGGAATTGATTTTTCGGCGACGGCGGCTAAACTTTTATCAACATTTTGTGATTTTTGTAATCTTCAATAAAAGTTTAACGGTAACTACAGACGACGACGGACGACAAGCGATCGCAATAGCACACATAGTTCTTCTTGATGTGATCTACATACATGCCAAATATAAATAGAGGCTCCAAGAAGCCTGAATCGTTCACCATTTCAATGGGTCCCATTAGACTTGATCATGAAATAAAGTTCTATTATGTGCAGACATATGGAGTAACTAACTTTAATATTAATTAAGTTTGATTAAATTCAGTGGTTATCATTCTCAAAAAATGAATATGTTTACGATATGGTTTTGATACAAACTTTGCCCTCACTGGTGGCCATTTTTAACTTCGGATCAGCTCAAAACGTAAAAACTCTTTTTAAGGACCTGGATACTAGGTACACACTGTATATTTATACTAAGTTTAAACTCAGTCATTTCAGCGATCTTGAGAAGAAGATTTTGAACATTGATTTTTTCAAAGTCCCTTGGCGGTCATGTGTTTTAACCAATGGGTAACTAAGAAGCAACACTTGAATAGGACCTTATAGTGCACAAGTATATCAAGTTTGATTCAATTCTGATAAGTGGTTCTTAAAATAAAGATGCAAATGTTGTTTCCCATAGTGTGTCGATGCTCACAAAGTAGCAATTCTAAGGTTGTCGTTATAGATGATATAGCGATGTCGTAATTACGATATAGATGTCGTTATAACGACATCCTTATGTCGTTATTACGACATAAGGATGTCGTTATTTCCACATAATATGTCGATATTACGACATAGCGAGGTCGTTATTTCCACATAATATGTCGTTATTACGACATAGCGATGTCGTTATTTCCACATAATATGTCGTTATTACGACATAGCGATGTCGTTCTTACGACATACTATGTCGTAATTACGACATACATTTTTTTTTTTTTTTGAATGACCCTTATCGGCTTCCGTACATAGACGATATTGTACAATATTTTCTTTCGATTTACTCTATAAGTGTACGCGTATCATGTCTGTATCTCTTTATATTTCGAAATCCTTTATTCTTAAAATATCCTCTACTGGATGAAAAACTGGTAATGCACATTAGAACATTCAGATATGTTGTATTGTCAAATTCCTTGTTTTGTCTGCCTGTCCTGACATTTGTATTTATAAAGGCTCTCCCCAGTTATTTTTACCAAGGCTCTTTCGAAACAATTAACCAAATCTGGTTGTGATTCAATTATTCTCACAACTTGATATTTTGCAAATGTTCTCATCAAGAATATTTTCTTTAAATCTCCTATTTGAGAGGTCCTTTGACAGGACCTCGGCAACTGTTGGTACATCTGACCCCTCTCCAAAAATGAAAAGTTGAACAAATTTTGGAATTTGTTTTACATTCAAGTCATGAGCATTCCCTTTATTGTTGTACTGTTTACCAATTGGTTAAAACATTGTCCCTTTTTATGTGTTACTAGATATAGGTATGATGCATATCTTGATCTTTTCCTCGACATTGACACAGAATGACGATTGCAAACTGTCCAATTGTATGTCGTTTAATTACCTCAATTGATACGTTACGGTTGTGCATGTTCACACTATACGGATTCCTTATCAGGTTTGTGCTGCTTACACACAAACTTCTTCAACAGAGTTAACGTTAACAGGAAGAACGTCTGAAATCGTCACTTCATTGCTTTTACCGTCACCATCACGAATTTGTTGACTGATACGATATGCCTGTGCTTTCAACTCAATAGCGACATGTGTTTGCAGTCTGAAATCTTTAGATACCAGTGAAAATAGTCGTTTTAACTGTAATTTTACCGGTTGTGTCCTTTTCATGATTTTGACATTTTGACTGAGTGTGGACTTGCATGGCAGGTGAAGTATGCATATAGCCAGTTATAAAAAATATCCAACATGACAAAATGGGAAACAATTCAAACGAGAAAACTCAAGGTCTAATTTATAACAATTCAACTTTACGAAAAACAAATATGATAGACATGAACCAAAAACAACCACTGATTTGCAGGCTCTTGGATTGGGACAGGCACATAAAGAATGTGTCAGGGTTAAATATGTAAGTGAGTATTCAAACCTCCAGTAACCTGCAGGTAAAATGTGTAATAGGTCAACACAGAACAAAGTTTACAAACAAGTTGCAAATTGGCCTAACTCAATAAACGGAACACAATCAACTACGAACATAAAAACAATAGACACAAAGCAACGATATAAGAGTACTCGCAGAAACTGAAAGCTAGTTAGAAGCTAATTACAACTAATGAAAAAAATTTCTAAACAAAGGTATCAATATCGGTACATATCCAACAGATTTAGTGTACAGACGCCATAAACATTCTTAACATAGCCTTATGGAATGCCAAAATATAAGTAAACACTATCGATTAGAACATTCAGATATGTTGTATTGTCAAATTCCTTGTTTTGTCTGCCTGTCCTGACATTTGTATTTATAAAGGCTTTCCCCAGTTATTTTTACCAAGGCTCTTTCGAAACAATTAACTCATAAATGTGCAGGTTAGGGGGAGGGTTTGGCGCCAACAAACTAGTTTAACCTAGCCACATTCTATATGTGCATTTCCTAAGTCTAAGTCAGGAGCCTGTAATTCATTCGTTGTCATTTGTTGCTATATATCATATTTGTTTTTTGTTCATTGTTTTGTATATAAATCAGGCCGTTAGTTTTCTCTTGTGAAATGTTTTACATATGTCATTTCGGGGCCTTTTACAGCTGACTTTGCGGTACTGGTTTTGCTCATTGTTGAAGGCCGTACGTTGACCTATAGTTGTAAGTGGTGGAGCGTTGTCTCATTGGCAATCATTCCACATCTTCTTTCTTTTTATATGTATAGCAATTAAAATCTAGTTATGTTTCATCTTTTTGAATTAAAATCAATGTCAGTACCGATAAAAAATATTTTACTACGGTGTTTAATTGGTAACTTTGTGAATAAGTTAATTCAATGGATCAATGATTTTACGAGGATCGTTTTTTGATATTATGGGTTCTATAAACAGCATAGCGGTAAAAATTAGGATGTCACATCCCATTTGAATAAGAATTTTACAGCTACAGCCAAACTTTCAAACCAAAGGAGCAGGGGCAATAAGCTCCTTATTTGGCCCAAATATTACTGCAAATTTAAAAGTTATCATACATATCCTTAAATTTGTCCTAACTAGACTAAGGTACAAGGTTTTCAGAAAATAAAAACAAATTTCACATTAAACGAGCTACCATGGCAACAAACCATGACGAAATTTGTATATTTTATAAAATTTCTGGAATTTCCTTGTTTTTCATCAAATTCTAAGTATATTTAAGATTGGCAAAGTATGTGCGCACCCAAGAATTTATATTTGGTGAGATTATTTCAATAGTTATAATAAAGCTTCTCTTAAATTATTTTGTTGTTTCTTGGCTGCGCACGATGTTTCCGTAATGGAAATAACGATGGAAAATTGCACAAATTCTACATTTTTCATCTTTTTCATGAAAACGGTACATATTATGACGTAACTGTGACGTCATCATATAAGCAATCTTATGTTTTTTCATTTATATTTCTTCACTCTATGCATTTCCAAACACTATGTGCCAATTTGAAATAGTTGTCAAACATTTTATTTTCTTGGGCCAAAACCGGGCCTTAATGCCCCTACTCCAAAGTTTTAGTATCTATAAAAGACTTAGTAAAAGTTTGGAGTTTATATTTACTTTAATTGTACCTTTTCAGCTTTATTAAAAGGGAGAGATATCGTGTATAAATTCGTAACACACAGTTCCTTCACATAGTAGAAAAACCCTATGACTTGAATTATTTTTATGCTCAATCTTTAGTGTTTTGTGTACAAATGTAATGTTTTGTGGATTGTTGTTTGTCTTTTCTTGTTTTTTTCTTATGGTCATCATGTTTGTTGTCAGTTTTTCGTCTATATATGTTTTTGATTTGCCATTTGTAAGAATTTTACATTGAAAGTATTCAAAATGATTTTTTTAATAGCATGTTTTTTGTTGTACTTTCACAATTGAAATGTAGAATCCCCCCAGAATAATGTTATTACGGGAATGACACGATAAAACGATGCAGACATAGCATAACAGTACAAAACTCAAAAGTTTGCTTTATTTTATTTTCAATCATTCATTGTAGGTTGATTGAAGACTAGGTATTCCTCGTCGTACATTTGATTTCTAGCTTTGAATGGATTGATTTCAGATGATCCAGAGAACTTGTTATATTGCACTGAAGTATAATATATATCTCCGCTGTCCTCTTTTGTGTTCGTGAAATATACGTTTGGGACTGCATTGTCACTCGATTCCATTGTCTTCGTCTTCTTTTTCCTGAAATTAATGTAAATTGTTTAAAATGTTATGTACATTGAAAACTGCTTGTACATTGACTAAATAGTTTGCATCTCATTTCCTTTTCTTCTTTTTTTTGCAGGTATATCTATGAAGAAAACAACATTTTCATTTTAGCATATTCTTGAAATATGCACTTTTTGATAAATATGCAACCTATACATTTTTGTAAGTTTCCGTTGAATAAACAAATTGATTACGCATTTCTTATAAAAATTTAAATTTTGTTAAAATGCAGACGATATGCAAATATGACATTTAATGAAATATCCACGAAAAGATTATACATAAATATTCTATGTGTTGTTGATTAGTTTAATAATTTCTTAAAATTCCAATTAATTGAAATAAAAAATGATATCTCGTTTGAATTCTTCTAGATTTTTGTCGGATTTTTATACGGTATTAGGTTTACTCATTGTTGAAGGACGTACGGTGACCTATAGTGGCTTACATCAACGTCAAGTTGACTCATACCGAACCTTTTTATTTTTATACATATATCATACCTAGTTTTAATATATATAAAAGCGACGAACAACAACAAGAAAGAAGCCATTGATACTGCAACGCCAATGATTATATCTGTAACAGATAGAAACGATGAAAATATCAAAATTAGTATATGTATCTTTTACATATATAAAATGTATGTATATGTGTTTGAAGAATTGCTGGAGACAAATATCTGACTAGTTTAAATAACAATGTAGACACAGGTTACCAGCAACGTTATGTGTTATTTGTTGCTTCAGTTAAGCATATTTAATTTTTTTTAAAAGTGAAGGAGAGGGAGAGACACTTACCCTGCTAGGCACCCGGTCGAATTTCATTTTATGAGTTTATGAGATTCCTTCCGTTTTAGTTTTTTACCTTGATTTGTATCTTCTTAATTGATTCCTAAAATTAAACGAGACTTACCTTTGTTAAGTCGAAGTTTGATTGGCGTTTTATGAGTCATGAGACTCACTGAGGTATAAAATAAGATAGTGCTGCGCAGCTGCGACCTTCAGTTTGGAAAAGATTTTTGTTGAATTTTATGCATTAATATATAAATACAGTTCAAATTGTGTTATATTGTTCTTAATAAGTATATTATAACCATCTAAATAACAAACTGCATGACGAAATAAAATACATTATGAACTACTACTCCCTCTCAACAGTGTGAGAAGGGAGGATATTTTATACCTCAGTGAGTCTCATGCCTCATAAAACTCCAATCAAACTACAACTCAACAAAGGTAAGTCTCGTTATATTTTAGAAATTTAATTTCGTCGTGCTCAGTTCTGGTATGAAATGAGACTTTAAAGGAAATTTAACAAAAATATCCCTCAATCAAAAGAAAGTAACAGAATTAAAAATGCTTACTGTGTACTGCTTCAGTACACCTTCTGCAAAACCATCTTTCACAATCTTCTTATCATAGAAATTAGCAAATATTTTGACATTTGACCATCCTGCTTTCGTTAAGATTTCATCTTTGGAACGGCATTAAATTTTGCTTCAGAAGTAGAGGCCGATCTAACACTGTGTAAGCCAAATGTCTTAGTGTCTATTCCTGAACGATTAAGGACCACCTGTGTGTCTTTAGTAACATGTTTGTGAGGTTTCACATAGCTTATCAAAAGTCTTGTTTTTAGTCCGAAACATATACTCTTTTAAAACCGTAAATACACGTAATCTCCTATCTGGAGGATAAGCTTTACAAGTTATAACTGGCTACTTTTAGCCTTGACGACTTTGTTAAACCAGATCGTCAATTTTGAATAACAAACTCTGATTTTAACTTATTTACATTATTTTTACATATCATATGAACTAAATGAATTCGAGTTGCGTTTGTCAAAGCAAGCAGCATAGTTAGCGTTAGTGTCAAGTCTTTTAAACTTATAAGTACTACTGGTGATAATGTCCTTAAGAATTTCAATACTATCTGAACATCCCATATGCAAGTATATTTCGGACGTGACGGACGAAGATTAAACACTCCTCTTAAATATCTGATAATTTACGGATGCTGGCTAACTAATATTGAACCAAATTTTAGTCCAAGTGCTGACAAAGCGCCTTTTACTGTATTGATACTGCTATGCCCTAAGTCGAAAAAATTCGATAACACTTTCTATAGACGCTTGAAATTGATTAATCTTCCTTTTACCACAATAGATAAACCATTTTTTGATGAATGTATTATATTGTTTGTTTGTGGAGTGCTTCAATGATGACATGAATATATTTGTTGATGTTTCATGGTAATGCATTACATTTTTCCAAGTAATTGCATGTAATGTGTAATGCAGCAATTTTTGCATTACATGTAATTGTAGTAATTTAATGCATTACTTTAGAAAAAAGTTGTGTAATTTCAAGCATTACTTTTTTCACATACTATACATCTTTAACAGATTGTTGGAGATTTAACTAAAGCAGAATTTAAGATTTCTTGATTAACTAAGAACATAATCATTTGAATATTGATTTTCTAATTAATATTTATTTTTCACACTTTACATAAATCACCAGAGGGAATTTGGAGATTAAGCATTGCCCCAGGTAGAACTTGAAAAAATTGGTATAAATACTAGAATGACCAAATTACAATTCTAAATAGATAACACAACACATATCAGATTGAGTTCTTTTTTTTATTTCATTTTATTTCATACATTTTCCTGCATAAAAAGATTGATATTTGAAAAGCATTACTGTAAAAGTGTTCCATTGTTCTCTAAAGATCATGATTAAAGATATTACAGATAATTGAACATTGTCATAAAACACTAATTAGTTTGTTTTACAATCAATCTTTTCACCATTTTGACATTTTGGTCATAAATTAAGCTCTATGTTTATTTTATAATTAGGAAAGAAATTCTCGGTAAATATTTTGATTGAAATTAAAAAAAAAACAAATGTATATTTATGAAAGTAAAGGTAACATTAAGTTAAATAAGTATTAAACTTCATCTCTGTAATTTCTTTTTAGAGAAAACACAGGGATGTTTACCTTGAAACATAGAATGCACATGAAGGATGAAACCTTCAAAAACCCTTATGATGTTAAAATGTAATAGTCGTATTGAATAGACTTTTTACATGTATGCTTAAATTCAATACATGGAACAGTTACTGCATATACTAGAATCTTTTGTGACTTCATGTTGTTTAAAAAATGTTTGATTTTTCTTTTCACTTGATAATAAAATTTACAAATGTAATGTGTGATTCAATGTATAACTTTGCAAATGATATTGTAATTTAATGCATTACTTTGATAAATGCATGTAATTGTAATTGTAATTTTATGCATGGTTTTGTCAAAGTAATTGAAATATAATGCATTATATTGCAATGTAATTCGCTCCATACCTGTTGCCAAGTATGTGAGAGCGAGACTGAATTTTATAACTGATTTTACTCCAGTTTTCAATCTCCTTGGCTCTCTTTTATACACCATCTCCAAACAGGTTAGAGGTGTATTCAACTGAATGTGAACATAAATGTATACATTCATTACACATTTCAGGTTTCATGAGTTCACGTCTAGTGATGTCAACTTTCCTATTAGCATGACCAAGTATAGCTGGTGCGTCATTGCATTCATCTATAGCATTGTTATTTTCATCTGTCGATGCCATTTTGTTAACAGTGTTTACTAACACGGTAGAAGCTTTGACTATAGCCTTTTGTATTACCTGCATTTTTCTCTCTACAGATTGTGCTTGTGGTGATATTATATCCCATATAAGCTGGTTTGTTTTTACAGTGGCTAACCTTTCACAGTTTTTAGGACGTGGAATATTCTCGTCCTTTGTCAGTTCGACGAGCTGGTCTTCATTTATGCCGTAACGAAACAATTCTGTAACATTATCAGCAAGGGTTCCATCAATTTTAGCACCTAGTGTTTCACGAGTCTTAATTCGTTTTGACATTGAAGCAAATTTACTCAAACTATTGTCATCAGCCTGACGCTTGCTAGGTGGGGCATTGACCTGATCATGGTCTTCATATATATCATCATAATCATTATCATAATATTGAGTATCCTCGTACTCTTCGTCGTAATCATTCTCATAATCTATCATTGTAGAGGACAGATTTTTAATCTCTTGATCCTGAATGTTCTGTGTTTCATGTATACTTTTTAGCATCGCTACAATATGAGAGTTTTCATTGTTATTGCTATCAATACTAGGGCCAGTTCTGGCAGATTGGGTATTGGATTGATCACGGTCAACACGTGGTGAAGGTACAATTGGAGACTCGATCCCTTTTGTCTGGCTTCTTTTCGTTACCGAAGCTTTACCTTTATTTTTTTCAAGTTTCTTGCCTTTATCTGAGGCTACCTGTTTTTCCATATTGTCATCGACAATGGATTTATGACCATTTTTATCTGATCCTTTTTTGCGGATCAGCTACTCCGCCATCTGTTTACTCTCCCTTTGCACTAGACAAAGTTAGACGTAATTTTCGTATCTAGAAAATTTTCGTATTTTAATTTTTTACAGCGTAAAAAATATATATATAAATGAAAATTATTGTCATTAAACTATAATAAAATTATAGTTTATATTTTATTTATCAATTAAAATCAACTTCGTTGACTTTGAAATGTGTGTATGGTCGCTCATGGACAACGTCCAAACTCTGCTAGCGACGCAAGCACACTGAAGGTTGCAGCTGCGCAGCACTACCTCATTTTATACCGGAAGTGAGCATGACGAAATATGATTGATTATTTGCCTTTCTTCAACTACATATAGGAGCTTGGGAGCTAGAAATTTAGTCTGTGTTCAATTTTTGAAAGTAATGCAATGCATTTAGCATGAATAAGACCGTACTTGCCAACAAGGCAGAGTAGAAAATATGTAATGCTTCAGGGAAAATCAATCTGATTCTGAATAACTTGATGAGATTGGTTTAGTATCGGAAATTTATGGCGGTTGTTTTCCATTCCTTCCCTTGGTTGATATAGTCTTACGTTTGATTTTGTCAGTTTTTATGGACTTCCCTCTTTTTGAATTTACATTGGAGTTCGGTATTTTTGTTAATACTTTTTTTTTTCTCATTACCACTGACAGAAACCCTATTATGTTTGTGTTTTCCAATATGTAGACCGCTTTATACAAATATTCAAGACGTTAGGATCTATAATAGAATGATAGATTACCTTTTTTGTTAGATTCTTTTGTTTTAGTTAAGGCTTGATTAGTCACTTTACTTCTTAACGTTGATAAAGTAGAACTTCTATCACTTGCTGTGGTGTTACGGTCAATTTTAGAATTATCGACCACAGTCATACTGACTATTACTGTATCGGTATTGTCAGTTGAAGAAGTAATAACTGTAGGCGTTGATTCGGTTAAAGAGCACCTGACGTCATCTGAACCACCAACTGAAATTGACAAGAAAGTGTTAGCACAATTTAGAGATGAAAATAAAGAAGAAAAATACGCAAAATAAGAAGATGTGGTACCTTTTATGAATTATTTTAATTTGCAAAAAAATGTGTTTAAAGGAGATAAGGCTTAAAATTAACATGAATAAGGTGCTTGAAATGTTCAACTATTCGACAAATATAGTCTAGTGTATCGATATTAGAAGAACTACTTATTGTTCTGATGTCTAAAATATTATATTACACCGTAAATTCTTTTATTTGGTCGAGAGAAAAAAATACATATCTTGACCTCATCAAAATACTAGAATGGTATAGAATTATCAAATCTTATTACCTTTACAAAGATATGGTAAAGTTTCTTTGCAATATCCAATGAATCTGTGACTATATCCATTTGTATGAACATTCCTGGCATGACATGACCCTATATCAAACTCTTTATCTATAAAAGATTACGCATCTGATGAGTGCATCACATTTTATATTTGTTAATTCCGATCTGACACATTAAGAATTTGCTTGTATAAACTTCAGTATTGATTACATTTTTCGGGAAATGGTATTAAGTAAATAGAGATGAGAAGTTAATTGGGGGTACACTTTCAATAAAAAGGTTTTGAATATTTGGACAGCCCTAATTGTCGTCGTCTGAGATACCTTTTGATAGCACAGACAATCGACGCAATTCTTCTTGAAGGTACATAAATAATGATCGGATTTCCTACAAATTCGGACATTCGTAGCCCAAATACATATTATAGCAATCATGGTATTTACTTTTTGTTCACTAAGTATCAAAACAAAGTGTCATGACAACAAAGATATCTTATCTTCTGCATCAAAATGCTTCGCTGGTCTATTTGTACTATATTCTCCCTGAGTGCGGAAACAGTGAGTTTTAATCACGCCAGGTCAAATCAAAAACTTATAAATTAAGTTGTACTTCCTCGCCGGTAGGTACGTGGCTTTTAAGAGTAATACTCCAAATAATATGTCGCTACTGTGTTAAAAAAAACCACCAAACGTAACCGGTCTAGTACACAGCACGGCTTGAATAAAGAAAAAAAGAATGTAATTATGATTACAAAAATAAAAAAAGGGTTTTCATTCATAGTACCATATATCATTGTAGTCTCTTCCTTCAAAGGATCGATCGGTCCTGACAATGTTTAACGATTTACATGCCCGTCTGTGCGTATTTGGTGAAATAATTTCTTTGCATGCTTACTTTTTATTCCATGTCTAGTCTTGTTTATACCTTGTGGATGATTCCAAATAATATTAACTGAAGAAAACTCTTGACATCGAAGGTATTCGAAAACCGATTGAAATAAATTTCCTTTTCCATTCTTTTACTAGTAGTTATTGGAGTTTCGTTTGTTTGAAATTCACAGTTAATTAACACTGAAGTTTTTCGTCGGAAGTATACCAGTAGATTTTCAATAAGTCAACTTGGGTCTACTATTTTCGTCTCTTTTTTTAATAAATAAAACAAACTGCAGACATGTTAGGAATCTACACTTGCTTTAATATCTAAATATGAAAACAAGGCAGTGTGAGGTATTCATAAATTAGTCAGAAACCAAACGACACTACTTCTTGATCATTTTCGTTTTTATTTTGATATTCCCTGCAAAAATTGGAAGCACTTGAAATAAAAGATAGGTTAGCTTGAGACAATTATAAACATTGTAAGTGTTAGCGTAGCTTTAATGAAGAGGGGTTTCTATAATCTAATTTGGAACGTTTATACACATTTCTGCCTGAAAATCAGTAGAAATGGTTCTTCGAATTAAATTGAATCAGAAATGAAAATATACTACAAACGTACCTTTCTCATACAAAATTTGATGACGATCTACTCCGCACATATCGTATAAGTTCCCTGGACATACTGAAACGTCACAGGAGGCGGATCTATTCAGACTGGCAAAGTCTCCTAGCTCATAACAAAAGCATTCTGTTGTCTGAAAATATCATATTGTAACATTACACTACATAAGTACTAAATAAACGTTTTATAAACATAATATTACAAATGAAATTAGTCCTCAAATTTAACAAAGCAGTGACGCACACTTACACATCGCGTACGTAAAACACGAAACACATTAAAGAAGCTACTAAGCACATGGACATTGGTAAGACGGTATTCATGATATAATCTGTACTAAAATGTACAAAAGCCAAAGAGCTTAATCATATTTTGAATTCAACTTGAGCATTCTTGTGTATATAAATTTAAGAATTGTATATACATTTTTAGTCAGTTCTGATGTATGTCTGTGATGTATATTTACACAATTTTGGCTGCTTGATCCATATTATTGTCACATTAAACTAATGTTATATCTGTTTGGGTTTGATAGACCAATTTTGTCAATGTAACGGAACTCTAAACAACTGCCATACAAGTTTGAGGTTTAGCTAGCTTTAAAACCAGGTTTCACCCACCATTTTCTTCGGAAAATGCCTGTACCAAGTCAAGAATAGGACAGTTGTTTTTCACTCGTTCCGTTTGTTGATAACGTTTGATTTTGTCAGTTTTTATGGACTTCACCCTTTTTGAATTAACCTTGGAGTTCGGTATTTTTGTTACACTTTTTTTGCAATATTCTCATGTTTTAGTCTAAACTAAATGCATACGATTTTTTTTTTAAATGACAAAAAAACGAAATTAATATTAAACCAAGTTAGTTAAAAATTAATGAAGGACTGATGGTTATAAAGAAATCATCCAGAAACCAAACTTTTCCTTAAATTTCAATCTATAACTAGCTGCTTTGACTTTTGACCTAGTGACATTTAAAACGATAGGGGTCTTCTTTACTCCATGAGGCATTACATTTTGACGTCCAGACACCCGATGGCATTCATCATAAATTTTAATTTATAAGCCAAGTTGGACATCGTCTTTGCTCAACTTCGTAAAAAGCAAAGGAAAAAAAGGAAATTACTATGTTTGCATTTTAAAAACACTATGGATGTTTAAGATAAATTGCAGTAAGAGCTTTTTTTGGTCCTATAAATTTGATTGACAGTTATTACTTCTCGACTCTCAGCACTTTACTGCCACACAATCTTATCAAACAAAAATGTTCTTATCCAATCAAATGATCCTTTGAAAAATCTGATTGCAACTTTTCATTTGCTGCAACTCAAAAAAGGCTTTCTTCTACAAAGAAAAAGGTAAATATGCTAGTCATGCTTGCTGGCTGTTTTGCCTTGACAGCATCAATGTTCGTTTCGGCAATAAAGTTTATTGACAGGTTGAAGGTTTCCCTATATTCTATTTATTATGTTCTTTAATAACAGACTTGTTCCTGTATTGTTTTGAATCACAATTTATGTTTAATATCTGTCTAAATTTCATTTTATTAATACTTGGGTAATTTAATATCGCATATCATCACCTTGATATAATTTTTGTTTTGAATAGTTAAGAATTCTCTAATTACATTTACCAGAGCGAACTGACTTAATCTAATATAAACAACAATAGTTTCCTTTGATAGATTTGGATATATCAGTTTCATACGGGAAACTGTATACAAACATTTACAACACGATTTCCCTACTCGTTCACTATGCCCATGTCCGAACTGACGTTTAGACTTCTATGAACGTAATCTATGTACAATTCATTTCAATAAATTACTTAATATTTCATTTAATTATTTTATATGTACAAAGGTTTTGTTTTAAAGTTTGGCTGTAGTTTTAGAAACCTTACTACAAACAGAATAGCACATTGTAATTTTACGGTGGTGGTGTTTACAGATCCCATAAATTTAGAAGCAAATCGTTTAAACGTGTACAGTGAAATCATTCTTAAAGGTAATCAATTTAGTACTATAGTAAAAGCTCTCCAAAGATACCAAGATTATACTCCTTGATTGGTTCTGAGTGCTTCATGTCTTCTTGTTCTTTTTTTTTAGTTCTTCGTGTCGATCTGAATTTAACAGTTCGCTTTTATGTTTTGCTGTTACACAACTATCCCAGGTTCGGGAGGGGGTCGCTGAGCGATCACAAAGCTTACTACATGTATATGGTATGTGTTTTTCTCGTACGGTGACCTATAGTTGCTAACATCCACATCCCTTAGTCTCTGATGGATAGTTGTTTCATTGACAATTCCAACACATTTACTTATTTTTAAAACAAGTAAAACATCATAAACATCTGAACCTCCTGTCAGTTCTATTGAAATTCACAACATTAATTGTGCTACAATGGATCGTGTGACAACTATGCCCGTGAAATATTTTAACACAAAATGTGAATAAAAATATACTTATCTCTCTTGAATTTTTAACTTCTGAATTACAAATTTTGACACACCGAATTGGTCTTTACTGCATGAAAGCCTACAGACGTTTGTCAAAAATAATTATGTTACCATGTTTTAAGTGTTTCCTTTTCTAAAACAAACCTTTTTCGAGGAATGTGTGAGACACATAGCAGACTTTTTTATGAGGAAAAAATCAAGCTGCTAAAGCTGAATAACAAACACAAAAAAGATCGGTTAATGAACTGTTCAAGGATTACATAATGCACTTACAGTTATTCCAAAGTGAGTAAAATTGTCACTTATGCAAAAATCAGCACATATGGCAATGCGTTTATCGGATTTCCGAAGATCTGTTGGAGTTTTCTTGCTTGCATCTCCCGTATAACATCCCTCTAAAATATTCGAAATATGAAATTCACAAATGATTTTTTTATTACATTCATTTTGCAATAAACGTTTTTGGACACCGTCTAAATAACAGTTAAACTTAAAACAATCACTTGCATCTTTATAATCTACATGAAATTACATGAAATGTTTTGAATGTTGTACTAATGATTTTTTTTCAATAATCAAAATTAATTTTTTTAAAGTGTTTAATTTCTTATAGTAGATAATTTATTTGTGTTGGTGCAAATCATGTTTATGCCTATTCCATACATGGAATTTCATAAAACGTTGACATTTTTGGTTAATTTTGTCTTAAAAAATAATATTGAAAATTAATGTGTACGTTGACTTACGTAATTGTTTATAAACTGGCCTCCCATTCCAAACGTATACATATTGTTGACATGTTAACAAAGCCTTAACGAATAGTTGTCCAAAACTCAAAAGATTCCCGCCAAATTCTTGACATGCTGTTTCAGCATCATAAAATGTTTTCTTTTCGACACCAGAATAGTATACTGTGGAATAAGTACCTAGAAGGTCAAAAGCACATCGATTAATAATAGTGTAGTGAGAAAGTTATTCGACACACTTACAAACTGAAGGTGCATTAAAACTACAAATAAAACAATACTTCCCAATACATATTTTAGATGTCAGGTTTGGCATACGGTATCCTATTCGCCGTTGTCAAATATATTAAAGCAATTGTGTTTAAAAGGGGGAGGGGGATATTTCACTGAAAATAAGTACAAAACTAATACAAGTACCCCCTTAAATAAAAACAGAAAAACCACAACAATAATAAAAACGATTATACACATTATGATATACAAATATATGTGATAAAAATTGTAAAATAATTGAACACCATCGTTTTCAAAATTTAAATACGAAATATTAAATATTTTAGTTTTGCTTACCGCTACATGTAAAGATAAGTATTTGGCAAATTACAATCAAATGTCTAATATTCATGCTGTATCTTCCCTTTCACTTAGAGACTTGCGGTATTTATTATCATTAACATCAATCAAATAATAAAAAACACATTATAAGGTGACTGGTTTTATTTCTTTTGCTTGTATTTTATTTGTATAGTAAATATATGTCTGTCTACCTCTTATCAGATTGGATACTTCTGTGCTAACACTTAAAGTATACAATGCCTTATCGAGAGATGTTAATAATTATTATCATTGCCATTAAGTTTGTAGAAAAATGTACTTTAAACATGTTTCAACATAACTCATATGAGGATTTTTAACAAAAACACTTATATACCCAATCGTTTCATCTAAATGTGCTTTCTTTTCCCGTGTACTTATATACATTTTTGACACAAATTCGAAATGCACACGAATGTATGTTTCTCAATCAAAATGAAAATGGAATAAATATATTTACCACCCGTAAACAATACAAAAAGGTCTGGAAGAAAGTTATCGTTATAAATTTACAGCAAAATGTACATCATGCTATAGCTCCTGTATAAAACAAACTTTAAATTGTCATCGCCACTAATAGGGTAAAAGTTTTCGTGATTTCGTGATTTTCGGTTATTTCATCTTATAATAATATAAATCAATCTGTAATGAGGTTCACACAGGCTTATACTACATACTATTTCACAATAACAGTAATAATCCAGTACAACATTCATTTTCTAATGAAGTATTTCTTCATGAGATAATTCTTTATAGCTATGCAATGTCATCATATTTTACCATGAACAAAGAAACAACATGAACATTATCCGTATAATATGCAAAATATGTGTTCATTTTGTAATGGGTTGTTAATTACAGCACGTTACTTCCGTGATTACAGTAACTTGAGATATTATAAATGCGACTTTCAGAGGATTCAAATTAAGCAAAAATGAACACGATTCGTCAATGAACAGGATTGTTTACGTTATTTTTCTAAAACTTCCATGATTTTTTTATATATACTAGCGTATTGTGTCACCATAAAGTAAAACCTTTATTGACATTTATTTATGGAATTTTTTGACCGACATTTAAGAATAGAATTGAGAATCTATTCAGGTTGGGTTTGTCTTGCCTGCGACGAAAGCTTAACTTAGGCGTGCTGTTTCCGACGTTTCCGATGAAAACAATTGTTAAAGTTTGTGTAACGGATACATTGGGTCAGTTGTATTTTATTTGCGCATAATTTTTGTGCATTATAAGAATAAAAAGGAGTCACTATTTTTTTTAACAAACTAACGTTGATTTATTAATCAATGTGCTAAATCTAAATAAAACTTTCAAGTCTTAAAGTTGTAAAGTTACAACTAGTTTTCAGATTTGACATTGTGTGGTTGCAATTGGCATCTTTTTGGGAGATCTGAACAGCTATACATGTACATATTTATGATTTTGAAATTATTTTTATCATGGTACTACATATAAGCTCCATGCTCTTATGTTGATAGTCACTTTCTATGTTGTATATGTTTTATGCGTCAGTAAAATACAATAACTAATATTTAGAAATTCATGAGTATTTGTAGATTTTTTAAAAGAAATTATTCATCTTAAGTATGCCCGATATACCTTCAAAATGTCAAAATATTTCCCATAAGACGTCTTTCCGTAAAATATCATTCAGTTCACTATCAACATCAAATATTGTTAAAATTTCAATTTCTGTGTGAAATTTGACAAAATAATGTATATAAGACTGAAATAAATTAAATGATAATATCCTCTGTAAATAGAAAAACAATAATGCACACTCAATGAGACAACCGCAATACGAAAAAACAAACAACACACAAGACATCTAGAAGGCAACATACATTCATACAAATCATTCTTTCGAAAATTTAACGGCCGCCATCACAAGTTGGCTGGCCGTTATTGAATGTCAGTTTCACAGATGACGACAAATATGTTCCAATTGTCGTAAACACAATCCTGTCCTTTTTTCCTCGAATGTGACCTACCAAATTAGACTTATCACCGGGTTTGTACTTACATGAGCAACACGGGTGCCATTAATAGAGCAGGGTCTGCTTACCCTTCCGGAGCACCTGAGATCACACCCGGTTTTGGTGAGGTACGTGTTGCTCAGTCCTTAATTTCTATGTTGTGTTTTGTACACTGTTGTTTGTCTTTCCGTCGTTTTTCGTTTTTTTGCCATAGAATTGTCAGTTTGTTGTCAACTTATGAGTTTGATTATGCCTTTGGTATTTCTAGCCTCTCTTAAACAGCAAATAAAAAACAAATGTCCATACAATATGTCAAGCCCCAAATCATCCGGAGTCTACAAAATTTGTGAATAAATTAAACAGAAGCAATTAAACAATTGCCCTCTACGCCAGATTTGTCTAATAAAAAAACAATGGTATTTGACATAAGAAATCCATTAATGAGGTTCCTGATTTAGGACGGCCACTGGAATTAGGAGGAGGGATAAAACTAGGTTCTTTTAGTATCAACTTTCGACCAGTGAACTAACAAAACGTTCAAGATAAATCAGTATAGGAAAAACAATCTACTCCTAACGATATCAAAGATGACAAAAACACAAATTATTATTGCTTATTGATTTGACGGACTCAATGCATGTAAACCAATTGAAATATTAATCAAATCAATAAACAATGTATTACATATTTTAAAAAGAATGCTAGCAGAACGCAAATCTCAGAGTAGTTACCCTCCATGCCGTCCTACACTCTGATATAGGTTGCCGTACTTCATAGAATATTTAATATACAGGAAAATCTTATGCTAGATTAATTGCTTTGTGACACACTTTCATTCTTTTCTATGGAAATTAAACATGCCTGTACAGCGACGTAGTATTTTTTTTTCAAGGTCACCTCGTAAAAAATAATTTTCCTGCAGGAAACCATGCCCACACCGATTATACATGTAAAACTGACAGGATGTTTGATTTTCAAAAATATATATATGACAACGGATGTTTAAAAATATCATTTAATGTCTATATAATAAAGTCCCTGTAATGATTTTTGAAAATGGTACAAAGCAATGATAGAGGATGCGAAGTAAATGCCAATCGAACTGCAAACAAACAACATAGGAAAACAAGGAATTCAAAATTTTGTTGTGAACCGGAACCGCATTAATTCATTTGATTAAGACCTTCCAATATTGTTAAGACCACAAAAAAGCAGTAAAACAGATTGTTCCTTTCAAATCTGATTAATTTATAAATATGTTTTTATATAAATTTTTTTTTTACATATTGTATATATATATACCGTATATCGGGTTTTTTTTCGTGTTGGCTTTACACGCGAAAAAATCACCATATTGAATTGTTAAAGATGTACATGTAAACAACATAAACTTGTTTGACTGATAGAGAATCGATAACAAATAAATACGAGTGCTTCAAACCAAAATACACGTACGGTTTGAGTTATGACAACACTCAATTGATCGTCGCTAATTACCGTAACGTTTTTTTGGACATGTCACTGATTGCTGTGTTGTCACAATGGGATGACATGTATGATTAGTTAATTTAATTATTATGAAAACAGAGATCTCAATTAATGATGCACACTTTTGTGATCTGCCGAAACACAAAAGACTGATTTTTAAGATATTGTAATTTCACCTTTAGGGTGAAATGAGTTTGCATATCAATTTCGTGTAAACTCGACAATTAACAGTATAATATGTGAAACGTTTAGACAGCGATAAATCAAGGAATATTCAGGGAAATTTACGCGGGGTCAAATTTTCGCGTTTCTTTAGATGCCGCGAACAAAGCGAAAATTTAACACACGCGAAAAAAACCCGATATACGGGGGTATATATAAGTCTAAAGATTTGCACAACGGTACTAATATAAGTTGGTAATATACGTAGATGATGTTTTAAAATCGTGTTGACATATATTTCGGCTTAACAAATAGCCTTCGTCAGTGTCAGTAATTTTAACAATACTAATTGTATGTGTAAAAATAGCTCAATGATACAGGTAAGTTTTGGTCTATTGATTTAATCCCAAATCTTGAACATCATAATATAAAACAAAACTCGATACTAAATAGACGTGACTGTGAATATGTACATCCCAAAATGAGTGTAAAATAAAACTGCTAGTATTTCTTATTAATGGCGTTTGGATGATGTACATTTAGTTCCTTTATCCAAAAGCTTTCACGAACTTGTCGCTGGGCATCACTCCAGTGAATGTTCTGTTCAATCACTAGGATTTTCATGCGGTTAAAGTCATCAAGTTTATGACCCGACTGTCTGAAATGCTGACTAACTGGGAGTCATCATATTTATGACCCGACTGTCTGAAATGCTGACTATCTTAGAGATATCACTGCTATGGCCATTGAGGCGTTTGTGGAAAGGCTGCTTTGACTCACCAACATATTGGAGGCCACAAACCGAACATTCTAGAATGTAAATAACATTCATACTTTTGCAGGTTACATTGCAAAATATCCTATAGTTATTTTCGATTGCCTTATTGTGAAAAGTTGATGAGTGATGCATATGTAGGCAGCATTTGCAGCGTTTTTCATCACTCGAACGACATTCTCCAGAAGTAATCCTATGATCAGACACGTCAGCCCGCACCAGCAGGTTCTGCAGACTATTGGGTTGCATAAAAGCTATCATGGGGGGGGGGGGGGGGGGGGGGGGGGGGGGGCTCGGGAAAAATCTTGGATAATTTGGAATTCTTTTCAACTGTTTTCCAAAACTCACGAATGACATCGAAGCTGTTTTTGAGAGATGGGTGGTAAGTAAGAACGCATGGAGTTCTTTCATTTTTCTTTTTATCTTTGTATTCTCACAGTTTTACTCCTTGGAATAGTTTCCGCTTTCTGAAAACTTTTTTGAATAGTTCGGTGTTTATAGCCCCTTCTCTTCAAGCGGGTTTCGAGTTGACTCAGTCGTTTTTTAGTTGTTTCTGTGTTGGAACATATTCGCTTGCCTGACTGTACGGGATGCTCTTAGTACAACGAGCAGGATGGCAACTTTTAGGGGACATGTATTGGTGAGTATCAGTAGGCTTAGAATATAGGTCTGTGGATATAATGCCATCTGTAAGGGAGCTGAAAGTATCGAGGAAGGTGATTTTGGATTTAGATCTCTCATGAGTAAATTTGATACTTTGATGTATGTTGTTGGCATGAGTGATGAATGTATCTAAATCCTCGTCACTTTTATTCCATTTCATATCCACATTATCTATAAATCGAAACCAGGAAAGCGGTTTTTCGATTGAAGATTCAAGGAGTTGTTTTTCTAATTTGCCCATAAATATGTTGGCATATGATGGAGCCATTTTTGTACTTATAGCAGTTCCATTAACTTGTAGATAATGATCTCCATCAAAGGTGAAGTTGTTGTTCTTTAGTACCAGCGTGAGCATTTTGACCAGGCATTCAGTAGGTGGATATTTTACTGGTCGGGAATCCCAAACTTTACATGCATCAATGCCATCTGCATGTGGAATATTCGTGTAGAGGGAGGTGACGTTCATAGAGACAAGTGTCGTGTCGGAGGGAAGTGGATTTAAGGCCTGCATTTTTCTAAGATAATCGGTTGTGTCTTTGATGTGAGATGGTAAGTCTTCAACATGTTGACGAAGTCAACGAATTCCGAGATTTTTTCCGTCGGATGACCGTTCGCTGAATCAATAGGTCTTCCTGCGTTATTGGCCTTATGAATTTTTGGTAAAAGATCAAATCTGCCCGGTTTTGAATTTTCTGGTTTCAAATATTCAAGAGTGTTTTCATCGATGAAACCATCGTCGTGCATTTCTACCAAACTATCAGGTATTTCTCTGCTAAAATATGTTGTAGGATCAGAGTCTAGTTTTTGGTAGAACCTTGCATCGCCAAGTTGTCGTTCAGCCTCTTGAATATAGGCAGATTTATCCATGACAACCACTGTACTGCCTTTGTCTGCAGGTTTAATGACGACATTGTCGTTGGATCGTAAGTTAGGCTGTGCAGTTCGTTCTTCATGGGTAAGATTGTCAAAAGGTTTATTGTTTTTTCCTGGTATTTCTAATCATGTCCGACTTAAAATTGTCAATAAATGACTCCAAGGTGGCATTTTTGCTCGGTTTAGGGATCCAAGTACTTTTTTTTGATAATTTATAATTGTTCTCGTCTTCTGAATTTTCTGAGTCACTATCCGAGCTTCTGTTGTTATTTTCCTTCGACGCGAAATATAATAATGTGGAGACTTTTGGCAAAATTGTCAAGGTTTTCCGACAATTTAGTTTCATTGATAGGGTCAGGTAGAGGACAGAAATTATGGCATCTCAAGAGAAGAGATGTTTCAGCTTCCGTCAACTGGTGTTTGGAAAGATTGACCACAATATTGGAGGGTGAGTTAGTCTCTTGTGGCCTACGTTTGAAGCGTCGTACTCTTTTCTTCTTTTCCACAGATGGTAAAGAAGGATTCATGTATTCAATGCCATCCCTGCGGAATTGTCTTTTCTGCCTTTCACTAAAATTTTGGGATTGTATGGTAGCTTTGATCTAAGGCGAGCATTGATAGCATCACAGTTGTCCGATGTTAGATCTTCTTTGCAGCTATTCAAAAGAGTGTTGAACACGCCAGTAAGAGTTTTTAGATGTTCTTCGCAGTGTTGTTTATATATATATATATACACTCTTGTTGACATTTTTTCATAAATTATGTCAGCAGTTGACCTAAACATTAACAAATCAAACCTAAATATTGGAATATAATTACTTGAATACTTGAGGAGAGTTATGACTTAAAGATAAAACATATCAATACTAAATGGACTTAAAGATAAAACATATCAATACTAAATAAACTTAAAGATAACACATATCAATACTAAATAGACTTAAAGATAAAACACGTCAATACTACATAGACTTAAAGATAAAACATATCAATACTAAATAGACTTAAAGACAAAACATATCAATACTAAATAGACTTAAAGATAAAACATATCAATACTAAATAGAATGTCTCAGAATAGAAATAAAAATGTTTCACTAGAACACATAAAATATGGTATGGCAAATAAAGAATACATGGATTTGCTGTCACGTGGTGAAAAAAATCAAGGTTGTTAAAAGAGAGGCGGAAGATGCCAAAGGAATATTCAAACTATTGGATGGGGAAGATACCAATGGAATATTCAAACTATTGGGTGGGGAAGATACCAATGGAATATTCAAACTATTGGTTGGGGAAGATACCAATGGAATATTCAAATTATTGGGTGGGGAAGATACCAATGGAATATTCAAACTATTGGATGGGGAAGATACCAATGGAATATTTAAACTAGTTAGGTTTGGTTTTTTTTATTGTACGTTTTGGCCGTAATTATAATACTGTAGGTCGGGTGGAAATACAAACCAACAGTTATTGTGTTGACCTCAGGTAATTGACTCCATTCCTGAAAAATAAATTCCCCATAGGTCTATATTCAGCAGATATCATTCACCCTCGTTCATCCATTATATCTCAGTCATTTGTTTATGTAATTACTAGTTCTTCTTCATTGGTTTCAAAATCTTGTCATAAACTTTAAAAATAAAAGAAAGCACCTTGACAACAAATAAACAAAGAGCAAAGCCTTAATGCTGAAAAAAATTTAATAAGAAACAAATAATAGGAATAAAAAAAAGTCGACGAAAGACAGACAGCAAAATGATCAAATTAAAGGAAAGACGAACAACACACAAAACAGTACACGAAAGTAAACTAAAGATTGAACGACATTAACCTTACCAAAATATATGAATAGTAATAAAGTTATATAAAAAGCGATTGAATTGAGAGAAGACATTCATTTACAGGAACCTATGGGGATTCTTTTAGGACGGAAAGAGAAATACTAAAACTTAGTATTCGTCTTGGAACAAACACGGACTTCGTTGTAAGACAGGGATTATATTAAGACTTAAGGGATGCATGTTGATGAATACAAGAGGGCATGGTAAAATAAATCGGGTTATGCATGAAAGTCGTCATCTTGTTTCACGCTGAGGTTTTTATCTCAATTTTTGGTTACGACATAAGCTTTCTATGTAACCAAGATTTTTCTTAACATACAAATGTAATTGATCAATCTGAAGGTATTCCAATTGCCAACAAAATCCTAGCATTTTGAACTTGATATTATATAAGTTCTTACGGAAATGTTATACCCAAAGTTCTGGATAAACTTGATAAATTTCGCTTACCTTGATCGTTACATTTCATTATTTCCTTGTTTTTGGTTTTATGTTTCCCAGTTTTTTTTCTAATATGCACGTGTTTTTGTGACATCTTAGGTAACTTTTACAAATTGTGACTTGGATGGAGAGTTGTCTCATTGGCAGTCATACCACATCTTCTTATATCTATTCAATGAAGATTATTTATTCATTACTTAGAATTTGTAAAAAAAAATTTTCTTGTATTTTGGAGGTTAATAATTATTCCTAATTTGAAAAAAAATTAGAATAATTTTTTGTATTCCTTGTATTGAACTTTTGACTATTAAGATTTGGAATTTTACGTGATAGTGTATTAACATACTGTTCATGTGTTTGCTGTATGGTATCTTTAATCTTCTATTCATATAGACTCTGATATAAAAGTGTACGAAGTCACGATTTCTATATAAACATATGTACGATTTAGAGTTTGTTTTCAGTGACTGCGAGTATTTTTTTACTACGATTTTAAGTAGTAATGTTTTACTTATATTGGTAATATTTCTATATCGATATTATAGAATAAGAGCTTTTTCTGAATTGGTTTTATTGTACATTCGTATGTTTACATTTTGCTATACCTCTATAAGAGAGTAAACGGAGGGAGGGTTTAACAAGACGGATGTTCGTGTGTTTGTCCAAAACCAGTAATCTTCTTAGTGGTTGTCCTTAATTAAATCTTATTTTTTTTATTTTTTATCGGATTTGGTGTTGATAGGAGAGTTTTTGAAAGTCTCTGTTAAGTTCATCCATATCTTGTGAAAGTGAAACAAATGGATATAAGAGTCACAAGAACAAAACAATTAAGTTTTTCAATTGAAACATTATAACGGAAATTGTACAATATATTTCGTTGAAATTATTATAATAGTATTATTTGAATTAAAAACTTCCCGTTTCGAAAAGGAAACAACAATTATTAATTGTTGGTGATTTGACTTGATGCATTTTATATAATATTACTGTATAGTTCCTGTGTGATCAAATATTGTACCAAGACATATTCTATCGGCAGAATTAGAGGTCTAAATATGGAAATAGCATGGATTCAATTTGTTTCTTTTTTCCAAGGTTGGTTTTATAGATTCTTGTATATCTAAAAGACAACACATTTTACTTATTTCTTTCTTTTTTTTTTTATTTTGATCAATTATTGTAGAAAAAGTTAAATTAGATGTTGTGTTAGGGTATGATAGTTTGTTACGCATTTTCAGCATTTATATGAAAATATATCACCCAAGTAAAACATACAGTTTTTTAACAAGCCATTGAAAATAAAATTGAAAACTAAATACATGACCATGATACTATATTTTATTTCAGAATGTCTTTTGAAACAATAGTATATAGAAAATAGTTATAATTCAATCTTTAATATTTTTATCCTCCGGTGACGGAGAAAAAGAGAGAAAAAAAAACCCTACAATTATAGTTTGGTAAATAATTGAGGAACCACGTGCAAAGATATTGATCATTCATTTCAGTTTTCTGAATATACACATTCAGTTCGTGGCAAATGTCATCTTCTTTCTTGCTGCTGATCCCTGTTAAAAATTGAAATCATGTTGACGGTCATTACGTCAATAACAACAAATTCCAAGATTAAGTTTTAAAAGTCTTACTTAAATTAATTTGACAAAGAAGAGTGTACAGCTGGGACGATATTTTTTACCTTCAAATTTTAGAATAGCAAAGTTTCATGATTGTAATGTCAGGTAGTAAGAATTCTGTTTTATATTTTCCTCTTTCATTTTTGGTTTCATCCCATAATCTCGTTTTTTTTAAGGACACATATCTCATTTCATATACCTGTTAAAATGGGTAACAGTTAAATTAAATTACTGCAGAAAATTTTCAATTTGAAGATATATGGTATAAACAGTTATACGAGTTTTACGAGAAACAAGTAAAGAATTCTTCCAATGGCAAAACGAGACCTGAAATAACGAGAAATTGTGTAATTAGATAAATTGATCCGTAATTTTAATGTCTGAAGACTGTTCGTTAAAACCTGCAAAAAGTTCAGAGATGATTCCATAACCTATTATAAATATGATTTTTTTTTTAAATTCGAGCCGGCTGAATATTTTATTGGTGATATTCTCTTTTTTTCAATCTGATTAAAATCAGCAGTTTGTTTGGCTATTAATTTTATAACTACGTACAAATGTATTATATCACGAGAGAAAAGACGTAGAACAGAGTAATCGGAGCCAAATAAACAGCTAATATACATTATATATTGGTTATTTCCAACACTCCTACAATTTCAGTATCCAAGTCATCATATTGGATTTTTCAGCCGCCATTCCATTATTAAAAAGTCATTACATCTGTTTGGAACAACATGTGGTTTTCCATCTTAACATTTATATAGAAAAACAAAATCATATTTCTACAAGTATACTTCTATCGTTTTACATTATAGAAAGATGTTTGGTTTAAATGGGTATTCATATATATATATATAAGATTCATTTAGTAAAAAATGCATTATATATTGTAGGTATTTCATGCCTGTTATTCCTACCTAACCAAACATTTGACTACATTGACGCGCTAGATTACTGCGCTTCCAAAAACAATAGTGTTTTGTCAAACTTATCAGATGCCATGCTAGCAAGAAATAGGTGCATGCTAACCAATTGTGACGTATGGTATAAGAGAAAACAGACAGATCCAGATTTAGGTTCGGAAAGTAAGTATTAAAAACAAAGATATTCTATAATGTTGTAAATTATAGCTACTTCCAACTATCAACGAGAAAATAATTTAATGTAGAAACTGATATTTGCGTTAACTATTGGTCAATTCAGTTCCACGATAAAATTTTAATATTATCCATTTCTAAGGAAATTTGATTTGTTTTCATTTGTATTTTGTTCTTTGTAGAATTATAAAGGTATATGAAAAGTTTAAATGGAAACGGATTTTTCAAAATAACAAAAAAGTTCTTAATGCTGACATGAAGCATTTGAACAATAACAATTTATATGCATGTACGTACTCTTTTTATAGAGCCTGATGGAATGTGTTATGTATACGGTAGCTATTGGAAACCCTGCAGGGAAAAGTTGTGGTTCTTTTGTAATGGTGAGAATTTACAATTTTAATGAAAGGTTAAAGCAATAGAATTATACACATTTTTGTGTTGAGACTATGAAGCATTAACCCTCTACTGTTTTATTATACCGAACAAATGCTGGCATTCAATTTGGCCTCTGGAAAAAGACAATTAGAAAAAAAATCATCAAGTATTACTTATGTTATTAACAAATAATGAAAAAAATATTCGTCCGGTGAATAATCCTGTAATAAATATTCATCGGCGGTGAATAATAGGGTTATCATCCTAAATTTTACGGTGATGTTGTAAACCGAGCCCGGAAATTTAGATACGATCCGGGTAAACTTATCAATCTTTTAAATAAACTTATTCTAAAAGGTTACCTATTCAACAATCTTTGAATATTGTTTTTATTGGTGTAAATATTGATTTTGTTATCATTGAATTAAAACCATATTAAATATTACACATATGTACTTTCACGGTATCTGCACAATCTGTCGATACTTGTAGTTTGGCATTGCACAAGTTCATGTTTTTCTCCGACTATTAATGACGTGTTTATTTTTTTTATTAGTAGTTATTGGCTTTGAACTAGCTGTCAGTAACTGCGAGTACTCTCAGATCTGTACTTAGTGTCTTTTGGTTTTTGGGATGTATAAGTACCCATCCACGCCCACTTTATGTTTTTGTTAGATGTATTTCTATTTGTATCCATCTGATGAGTTAAGCCTTTTCAACTGATTTTTATAGTTTGTTCTTATGTTGTACTGTTACACAACTGTCCAGGTTAGGGAAGGGTTGAGCGCTCACAAACATGTTTAACCCCGCCACATTCTTTATGTTTCTGTCCAAAGTCAGGAGCCTGTAGTTCAGTGATTGTCGTTGGTTCATGTCTGTCATATTTGTTTTTCGTAAACTGTTTTGTTATACATTAGGCCGTTATTTTTGTCAATGAATTATTTCATATTTTTCATGTCGGGGCCTTTTATAGCCGACCATACGGTATGGGTTTTTCTCATTGTTGAAGGCCGTACGGTTGCCTATAATTGCTTACATCCACTTCATTTGAATTTTGGTGGATAGTTGTCTCATTGGCAAACCACATCTCCTTATTTTTATATTATTCACCGGACGGTACAATTTGACCGACCCTGCCTATTTGGACAAAAATCCGAATGAATTCGCACCACGTGATCTTTCATTAGCCAATAGATTTATTCAATTATACAGTGAGGAATAATAAAGACTATTAATTTCTATCGTTATTATTACATAAAAGAAATATCTATAGTTATTATTGGGACGTCATAATACAATATTGTATAAATTACTCATATCTTAATGTACCGATGTACAGTTATGTCATATGTACAGATATATATACACAGACAAAATGGGAACTAACACGTTCGAAGTCTCATAAATTCTAAGCAAGAGCTTCGATAGGGGACAGTAGCATCTTCTGTTAAGCATGAAGGATTCGCCGGTACTCTAAAGTCACTTCCAGCGGCATCCTTGCTATCCATCACAAAGCAGTCATGTATTGTTCCTATCGAAATATTAAAAACCAGTATTTTATGCTGAAATAGAACCTACCGGTAATTGACTTAGTTTCTAGTGATCATAAATCAACAAATTGGCTATACGTATGCCAACACTTTAAAATATTCGAGTTTATATACAAAAGGGACTATTTTAAAAGCAAAATGTACAGTTTAATTCTATTCGAAAATTATTTAATTCACTGGTAGTGTTAAACTTTGGCTAATATTAGTGAACAATATGGAACGCCCAATTTGATAATAACATTGAAGTAAAAATTGTATGTCTTCAGTTGTTGAGATATTTATTCAAATTTCTGATATATTGTATTTCTATGCAAAATAGAAGTAACGTTTTGGTTGAACCAGATCTTTCTTTTCTATCACAGAGAAGTAACAGAGAATAAAAACACTTGAACTAAAATGAACATTATCTCTTAGTTGACCCTAGTGAAAGATATGATCAGCGCAGCATTTATTTTAATATAAATATATGAAATTGACTTATTCATTTGTTGTATTACTCAGAATTAAAACTTGATTCTATCAATCAAGTTTTCGTTCATTTAGAACCAAATAAAATTTTCATGAAGAGGGCTTCAGATATTGCACGTTATATTCCTGCCGAATGTACTCACAATTAAACCAGAGTTTCACAGGAGAAAATAAAACTTTTTTTCAATAAGGCTAAATGAAGACCTGTATACGTGTATGATCTATGCCTCTTTGTATGCATATAAACTTTTAAAAATAAATTCTTGGTAGATTTAATTGACCTGTTAAAAAGAGAAGACACACCCAAAACAATACAAATTGGAATATAGAACATGGCTATGAATTGAGAAATAGTTAGAACTTTTATATATTGTTTCTTCAATAATTCGATCTGGTTGGCGAGCTGTTTTTTTTTAAACAGGAGGACCAATAGTTTTCGATATGCTGCGTTGGTTACTTATGTGACAAAATTGCCACCTTTTATACCATCGGATCAGCATGTTATTCGGAATCCCGGTCTTTTTCTTCCGAAATCTGTCTATTTTCATGACGTTTCAGGTATATAAAATGAAGCTGTCTGTCATATCTTTATTTGTTTTTCGTTTGTTGTTTCTAAAATAAACCAGAACGTTGGTTCTGTTCACATTTGTCATGATTGGGGTTCTTATAGCTTACTATACTATATGGGTTTTGCTTTTTGTTGAAGCCCTGTTGTTCTTTGGTCTGTAAGGATATTTTTCTTATTCGCTATTATACCATATCTCCTTATTTTGATATTCATAGAAGAAAGTTGAAAAATTGACCGAATAAAAGCAATAATTGCATGTTTTTTACGTTCACCGAAATGTGTAATTTTGCTGCATTAAATTCCATACATTTTTCTCACCATTGTTTGATCCAATTTGATGCAGTTGTTTCAGAGGAGAAACATGAACATATACTGAATTATGAAAATTGCTCAAACCGATTAGTTGATAAATTAGCCAAAATATGACAAAATTATATACAAACTAATTTGTAGACTATTTTAATGAAAAATAATTAGTAATAATTATATTTCATGCTTCTAAGAGTAAACATTTGATAACGCATGCACACAATAAAGATTACTTCTTAACTGCAAGACATTTTGTACTTTCGTACGTTTGGACTCACATTTCACGTTTTCTATTTATTTGCCACTTTAGATGGAGAGAATCCTGGATCAGTTCAATGTTCAAGACCGACAGGGATCCTTGCATGTTCACATCCGGCAGGCAAACTCATTGACAGGGGTATACCATACCCACTTATAAAATATTCAGATGACCACACACGTAAAAACACAAACGGAAAGTCAACGAAGCAGGAAATTGGTAAGATCAACTTGATTGGTAAGGCTAAACAAGTATTAGCTTTTCCAAAAAGCTATTTGTCTCTTTACAGTATTATATAAGTGTTTACTACATGATTGTATTTATATAGCACATACATGAGTATTGAACATTTGCACACAAGTTGATGTTTTTTTTTTTATGAGTGAAAGGCTGTGTGTAACTTATTTGAATTGATAACAAAATATGATATAGAGAAAGGAAGTATTGTGGAATATGTAAATGTTCTGAAGTGGAGTTCTGATAAAAAAAAATAAGGTTATGCGTATAATATCCCATATATCCTTTTTACACTCAGTCTATTTGATTTAACAAAGATGAATATTAATGGTGTTTAATGTCTACTGAAGAATAGATGTATATCAGGATGATAATATGTTAATATGATACTAAAACAATCCTATTTTGTACTCTTATGGTAACTTATATTGGAATTTTATTTATAAATGGTATGAAAAATAAAGCATGTCATTGATTTGTTTTCAAACGGTATTGTTTTATTACCAAGAATTTGTTTCATATTAAACATGCTACTAAAACAAATTTTCAATCAATACATAATGCTATCATATTTAACACACAAAAAAAATACAATACAAAAACATTTTGTAATGCGAGACAGTATTGAAGCAATAATTTAAAAATTTATTTGAGAGCAAATTGGAAGCATTAATATTTTGGATAAAAAGGTTTTTAATGGTCAAACTGCTAGCTTTAACACGACGGCTGCCACATGTCGAGTAGAATCTGCTTACCCTTCCGGAGCACCTGAGATCACCTCCGGTTTTTTGGGTGGGGTTCGTGTTGCTCAGTCTTTAGATTTCTATGTTGTGTTCTGTGTACTGCTGCTTGTCTTTTGGTCGTTTTTCGTTTCTATTTATATGGTATTGTCAGTTTGTTTACGACTTATGAGTTTGAATACCCCTTTGGTATCTTTAGCCTCTCTTTTCTAAGCATAGGTTTCGAATTCCAATATACAATTCTTCGAGATCGATCGATCGAGAGAGAGAGAGAGAGACCTGAATAAACAACAGTTTTTGCTTGTACATGAAGAATTTTTTTTTCATTCCAATCTTATTTAATTTTAATCATAAGCCTGAAGTGATTTGTAAGGGTCTCAAAAGGTTTTTTTGGCAATTGAGAGTAGCTTCGTATTTTGTTGAGCATCTGATATTTTACAAAATATAGAGAAGGAAAATGTAACTATCTATTTATGGGTTTTATATGTGCGGTTTTCATGTTTAGTATCATAGATTGTAGTAACCAGTCGAAGACTGTAAGAAGAATTGATAAGTTCGGGTCAAGCATATGAACATCGGGTTGTTGATGATAACATTGATAAGTCTGGGTTAGATTTTTTATGGCAAGGTCTAATACGTATGACATCATAAAGACGTTACATGGAAATCGACTAGATCAAATCAGGATGAAACATGCGCAAAGAGGCCTACTTTTATTGCTCTCCCTTAAGTCATGTTGTTGTTCCTGTTATTCTCGTACAGCCGTGTCTGTTACATAACATTTTAATCATTTGACATAAGCTTTTAACATACATTTTATGACATATGTGTCAATCATCTCAATGTAAGACAGATCTTACTTGATTCCATTTACTCAATTGTTGATGATAATGTTGACATACATATTGACTTATTACTTTTTGGAAACAGATTTTTGGATGACAGATTATTTTCTTATGATATAAATATTGCTATTTTCAAATCTGTTCAGAAATATATCAGTGACACTCACCGTTTTGTTTGACATTTTTTAATTTTTGTTTTATTTAGTGCTTATTTTTTCATTTCATTTCTTTCCTTCTTCATTTATTTCACTTAAGTAAGCTTACTGTCTCTTCCAAACCTTATATATTTATTTCTTATGACTTATAAAGGATATTTACATGTCTCAAGGTACTTGAATACATAATGAGTAATTGCCTACAAACTTAAATATACTATACATTTAGTAATTAACACTGTAAATATGTAGTTGTTTGTCTGTGCTCATAAGTAGCATGCATTTTCTGCTATATTAAATTATTTTAACTACAGTTGTAAATACTTGATTTATAACTTGTACATGTAGTATGGAGACTCAGAGAGCTTTTATAGGCTTGCCTGTTGCGCAATCCTTTTCATATCTTAATGAATATAATATATTTAAAATCAAAATCATCTCAAGGCAATGTGTCACTGGATTTTCATGTGTCGTGACCATTGTATTGACCTTGAACTTCGACCTTATGATCAACTTCATTTAACGTGATATTTAAAATTCAATATTTCCCATTCATTAACAAAGGTTGAGGGTATCCCAACATCATTTAAACTGGAGACATGTTTTGACACAATTCATATTGACATATTACATTTCATTTTATATCAATTGGTAACGTCCATATTCATTTTCTTTTCAGTAAGAGGTGCATACATAATGTATATATTTTTTTCATTTTTTGACAAAACGTAACTTTGATGCTATGCTGTTCCGTAATGTATTAATTATTCCTTTGCATAACTTTTAGATTTTAACTTCTACGAATGGATGATTATAGCAGGCGCTGTTATTCTAGCTATCTTGGTAACTTTGGTCGTTGTTGGTGCCATTTTGAAATGCCGCAAACCAAAGCAAACTCCAAAAGACAAGTTGCTTACCACTTCAGAAGACACTGGTAAATTATGATTTAAAGTGAATTAGAAAAACTTGTCTCGTCCTTTTCTAATATTTATCTTCTGTGATGAAAAAACTTAAGGAAGGAGATATTGAGTAAATTTCAGTGTACTTGTAAACAAACAAAATAATGCAGCAAACATTTATACCACTTTACGATCCGCAGCGATGGACAACTAAATGTATTAGGTAAACAGAAAGTAAAAATTCATCGCATGGTAAAGCACACTCACGTGTAGCTTGAATCAAAATTTCAGAATGCATTGAATTGTAGTTTCTAATAAAAATACGACACACATTGTATAGGATGGCCAGAAAGACTGACTTATACATAGATAGATGGACAAACTTAACCAGTATACCCCATCCTTTGAAGAAGTTCAATAAGATGTATGTGTGTTTATGTCTGCTTATAATAAACAAAACTCTGTGTAGCAAAAAAGCGTGAGGGAAGAATACCATTACGTTTCACTCAATTTCTACTACATAATTTAGACTAAGAAACAACGAACAGATTACCAGATGCTGATCAAGTTTTTAAATAACTGAAAAATATCTTATCAGTGGTATCAATTAGTGGCCGATTAGCTTAAGTTTGTAATTGTAACTTTCACAGAAAAAAAATAAGCAAATTTAACCTATGATACATTAACTAGTCTTTACACTCAGATCTAACAACAGTTACTACAACATGTTACACCACAGTACATGTTCATATTTTTCCTTCACTGGTTCAACGTAATACTGTCGTTATGAGTGTTCCTTATTCTAATTCAAAAATGTGATAACCCACGATACATTTTATGAGTCTTTAATTTTGAAACATAATAAAAAAATAAGATATTTGAAGATTGATGCATCATGCTACACGATTTTACTCACGCCAGTTGTCATTTGCGGAGAAGGAAATGCTTACCGCTCTGGAGCAACTACATTCACGCCAGAATATAATGGGGTTCATGTTTTGTTTAATGTGAAGTGGATGTGGAATGTTATTTGTCTATTCATCATTTTTCATTTGAGTGTGGTGTTTGCTGACGTTCTTCGTGTTTTTATCCTCTCCGATGTGCTACTTAATTCATTTAATATCACACGCTGTTACGTTTGCAGCAACATTACATCGGCGCCTGTATATTTCCTATCATGATTTCCTTAATATGTTGCTCCTTACAATGAAGTTATTGAACAATGTGTTCCAAACGGTAATGTTAAATCACGCTTCGAAAGTTTAACGGACGCCATCATGATTTGGTTGACCATTATTGAATATGTTTCTCACATATGACCACGTGTAGGCTTTTATTGTCGTCGCCTCAATCCCGTCGTGCTTTCTTCGATTGTGACATCATCGAATATGACTTATCACAGAATGCGCCTTATCACATAATATTTTCTTTTCATTGAGCAACACAACGAGTGCCATTAATGAAGTTGGGTCTACTTACCATTCAGGAACACCTGACGTCATCATTGGTTTTTGGTTGAGTTTGTATATTTAATTTTCTGTGTAGATTTTTTTTACACTTTTCGTATTCTTTTACTTTTGGGCTTAGTATTGCAATTTTTTTTTTTTCGACTTACGATTTTTGATAACCTCCTTGTATCTGTTGCCTCTGTTTTGTAGGTCTAGGAAAATACGTAACTGACAGCAAATGGTGAGTTTCTTTCTTAACAAAAAATAACTAAAGGCTTTCATTGTATTAATCATATAACTTCTTTTTATTTTTGATGTCTTAATTCAATTTTGGATTAAGTTACTGATAGATAATAGGTCAATACGCAATTTTTACAACCAGATACACAATTTTCGTAGTATTTATTTCTATTTCAAACTTAAATATGCAGTCACCTTAGTGTCTTAGTGTTAAAGTATTTGTATGTATGCATGGGCTTTGAATTTTGTAATATTAACATAGACTTTCTGTCACCAATACCAAATTCTTTAATAACAACCAACATTTATATATGACTAACGACATTAACTGACGTATAACTGGAAAAATATGTTTATACATCTGGTATTGACAGGAAAGAACAATATGATGTACTTTTACAAATTGTGACTTGGATGGAGAGTTGTCTTATTGGCACTCATACCACATCTTCTTATATCTAATAGTTTTCTTCTTTTATTTGTTTTAGGTACGAAGGCACTCATGAATTTATCAATGAACCACCGCATATTTACGACAAATCTATCACTGAACCACCGCATATTTACGACAAATCTATCATTGAGCCACCGCATATTTACGACAAAGCAGAAATAACAGTCTATGATTATGCAATTTAAGCTCATCTGCTCATTAATTGATGAGTGTTCTTACACAAATATGACAATAACTGTTCATATATGTATTATAATAGTTTGACGTTATGTATATAGTAGTTGTCGTTTGTTGATGTGGTTCATAAGTGTTTCTCGTTTCTCGTTTTTTATATAGATTAGACCGTTGGTTTTCCCGTTTGAATGGTTTTACACTAGTAATTTTTTGGGGCCCTTTATAGCTTACTGTTCGGTGTGAGCCAAGGCTCCGTGTTGAAGACCGTACTGTGACCTATAATGGTTTACTTTATTAAATTTGACTTGGATGGAGAGTTGTCTCATTGGCACTCATACCACATCTTCTTATATCTATATATGAAGTTGCATCAAAACGTAGTAAGAACGAGTAGAAAAGGATAGTTCCGTAAACTTTCTATTTAAGTAACATTAAAATTCAATGTTACGAAAAAAAAACAAAAAAAAAAAACAAAAAAAATCCCAAGAATTCGAATATGGAAAAATATTTTATTTGTTTTTTAACAGTGTAATTAACGCACGCTACGCTCGTCCATTAGGAAAGGTTTTGGTAAGTTTCAGGATGAATATTTGTTTTTATATTTGAATTCTTGGATTAGTTATTTATAAGTAACTAAAGCTGTACATTTATCAGAAGTCCTTATAATTGTAAAATTGTAAGTCGTTTAGTTTAAATGTTCTGTAAAGTAGTAATTTTCAGATTTTTATACTTTATTGTTCATATATTTATTACAATTATATTTTACAAATTATAAACCTGTTTTTTTACTTTGAGACCACTTTGCATACTCTCCCAACCCTTATTAATAACTAACTCGTGACAATACAAGTTCATTATCATTACATTAGCAAATCATTATTTGTATTTTATCACGAATTTATAGTAAATAACTTATAATTTCACAATAAAATGATTTTAACACTAAAAGATAACCTAATTCTATATTTTGCGACAAATGAGCTTAGCTAACTAGTATGAAAGTATACTCATTTGCTTCAAGTTATTATCACATGACTGTGTGCAACAATATTCCTCTATTCGCAAATTGGCAACTTCCTGAAAATATGCCAATGTACTTTATATTTCTTAAGAGACCAAATGAGTTTAACAACTATAGGTGACCGTACGGCCTTCAACAATGAGCAACACCTATGCCGCATAGGTAGCTATAAAAGGCCCCGAAATGACAAATGTAAAACAATTTAAACGAGAAAACAAACGGCTTGATTTAAGTACAAAAAAAAAACGAAAAAAAATATGATTTATAGCAACAAATGGTAACCATTGACTTGGGACATGCACACACAGAATGTGACGGGTAAAAAATGTTTGCTGGCGCCAAAACCCTCCCCTAACCTGGGACACTTGTGTAACAGTATGCCATAAGAACAAACTATAAAAACCAGTGGAAAAAGGCTTAACTCATCAAATCGATACAAAGCACATACAGTACAGATCTGAGAGTACTCGCAGTTACTAAAAGCTAATAAAAAATCATTTGTCTAAAACTAAAATATCAATCAATACATACCCAACATCCAATGGACTTAGTGTAAAGACGTCATTAACAGTCAGAGAAGAACATGACCTTGTGCAATGCCAAAATATACGCATCGGCTGATTATATAACCATGAATATACGTATGGGTACAACAATAATATTTGTTTGGTTTAAATTTACTGATAATCAATATTTTTATCGATTAAAACAATATTTAAAGATCTAACTACAATTGAATTTTAACCTTTTAGAATATCTAAATTTATGGGCTCGGTAAACAACATCACCGTAAAAATTAGGATGTGCTATTCCGTTTGTAATAAGTCTTCTACAGGTACAGCCAAACTTCTAAATTGAATCGTGGTAAGGAAATCCTTGCCTCAATAATTTACCAGTAATACATAAATTATTTTCATTGAAACCCAAAACGTCACTACAGACACGGGCATAGCGATCGAGTTGTGATAAAAACACCGTAAGATGGTGCCAACGGAACTTCACCGTCGATAAAAGGAAAATTAGCAATAGGGAACGAAAAATCATCCCTTTTGTCGGAAAGTTTTGAGTAGAGTTTCCCGTGTAAACCTGAAGTATATAAATCTAGAAAGGGACGGTTATTACCGTTTATTTTGATTTATTTGAAGTAAGTTCCTTTTGGGTAAGTTTCAGCAGCATATTAAGAAAACTATTGATTATTCAACGAACAAATGTCATCAAGATAACGGTAAGTGTTGATGAATCTATCAATTAAATGCAATTTAGACGGGTCTTTACTTAGTTTGGCCATAAACTGAGATCCATATCAGTAAAAGAACAAGTCTGCTTTATAGGGGCGCAATTGGTGCTCATAGAAAAACATACTACCTGTCGAAACGTAAATAAATTTTGTAAAGGAGAACATATACAGCTTCTATCATCTCCCCATACCTCCAGTAAATATATCCAGCATATTTACTTTTCTCATTAGAAAATAAGGCTTGATATGAGTTGCAGCAAATTAATTTGCAATCAGCTTTTTCAAACGACTATTTAATTAAATAAGAAAACGTTTGCTTGATAAGATTGTGTGGAATTGTAGTGTGGAGAGTTGAAAAGTCAAAACTGTCAACCGAAACAAAAGGACCATCATAAGCACGTAATTTATCTTAAACATCCAAAGAATTTTGAACAATATCGAAGAATTGGCTCCTGGGGTCTAACAGTCCACCAGCAGAGGTATCGACCCAATGTCAGTAATAATATAAACGGTACCAACTTTATTGCACCAGATGAGCATTTCGACAATTAATTTTTTTCAGTAATGCTCTCAGATTTAGTATCTCTAAAAGAATAATGTTATGTATTAAGCAATCTTAGTTGTTGATTTGCAGTATAATGTGGATATTAAGTACATAGTTGATTTTGACAATTCTGGAACTAAATCTTTTTTATGCAGTGATATATTCATGTAGAAGTAAATTAAAAATAAAATATTATGATAAGAAATTTTCTTTGAATTTGTTTCCACATAACATGATTAAAATACCACTTTATCAGAATGTTTCCTGTTGGTTGTAAGGCTGATATCATGACCCTGGGAAGATAACACATCTTATATAAAAACAAATATGATATCATATAACCAGTATTGATAGTGTATCTCTGTTGAGATGTATAATCATTATCAATTTACTATTTCAAGAAACACGTTTCTTGCACTCAAAATCAGTATTCAGCTTTTTATACGACCGCAAAAAAATTTTTGTGGTCGTATATTGGTATGACGTTGGCGTCGTCGTCGTCGTCGTCTGGCGTCGTCCGGCGTCGTCCGAAGACACATTGGTTTTCGCACTCTAACTTTAGTTTAAGTGAATGGATCTCTATGAAATTTTACCACAAGGTTCAATACCACAAAAGGAAGGTTGGGATTGATTTTAGGGGTTATGGTACCAACAGTAAAGGAATAAGGGGCCAAAAAGGGGCCAAAAATAAGCATTTTTGTAACTTCCAGACATAACTTGTGTGTTAGTGTATGGATCTCTCTGACATACATTGTACCACAAGGTTTCATATCACAAAAGGAATGCTGGGATTGATTTTGGGGGTAATTGCTTCAAAATTTTAGGAATTAGGGGCCAAAAAAGGGGCAAAAAACAAGCATTTTTCTAGTTTCATAACAATAACTTGTGTGTAAGTGTATGGATCTTTCTGAAATTGTACTACAAGGTTCCATATCACAAAGGGAAAGCTGGAATTGAGTTTGGGTGTAATTGCCGAAACGTTTAGGAATTGGGGGCCAAAAAGGGGCCAAAAATAAGCAATTTACTAGTTTCCAGACAATAACTTGTGTTCAAGTGTATGGATCTCTCTGAAATTGTACTGCAAGGTACCATACCACAAAGGGAAGGCTGGGATTGATGATGGGGGTAATTGCCTCAATATTTTAGGAATTAGGGGCCAAAAAGGGGCAAAAAACAAGCATTTTTCTAGTTTCAGGACACTAACTTGTGTGTAAGTGTATGTATCTTTCTGAAATTGTACTTCAAGGTTCCATATCACAAAGGGAAAGCTGGGTTTGAGTTTGGGGGTAATTGCCCTAAACGTTTAGGAATTTGGGGCCAAAAAGGGGCCAAAAAACACATTTTTCTAGTTTCCAGACAATAACTTGTGTTCAAGAGTATGGATCTCTCTGAAATTGTACTGCAAGGTACCATTCCACAAAGGGAAGGCTGGGATTGAGTTTGGGGGTGATGAATCATAAGGGGGTTCAAAAAATTTGGGGGGAGGGATTTTTTTTTTTTTTCCTTTTTTTTTTCTTTTAAAATTTTCCATTTTAAGTTGGTTATTTCTGATTTATATTTAAAAGCAAATGATAATGATATGGTAGGAGATACACACCAAACAGGATGTGTAAATTATTATATAATAAGTATTGTGCAATAGCAAGAAATTTTCAATTGCGCAGTATTGCACAATAGCAAGAAATCTTCAATTGCACAGTATTGCGCAATAGCAAGAAATCTTCAATTGCACAGTATTGCGCAATAGCAAGAAATATCCAATAGCACAATATTGCGCAATAGCAAGAAATTGTCAATTGTACAGTATTGCGCAATAGCAAGACATATTTAATTGCACAGTATTGTGCAAAAGAAGATACTTCATATAAATTGCTTATTTCTTGACCAATTTCAATGGGGTTTTATTCTTGAATTCTTGGGTTTCTTTAATATGCTGAATCTAACCGTGTATTTAGTTTTTGGATTTTGGGCCCCGTTTTTCAATTGGTCCACATTGAGGTCCAAAGGGTCCAAAATTAAACTTTGTTTGATTTCATCAAAAATTGAATTATTGGGGTTCTTTGATATGCCGAATCTAACCATGTATTTAGATTCTTAATATTTGGTTCCGTTTTCAAATTGGTCTACATTAAGGTCCAAAGGGTCCAAAATTAAACTTAGTTTGATTTTAACAAAAATTGAATTCTTAGGGTTCTTTGATATGCTGAATCTAAACATGTATTTAGATTTTTGATTATGGGCCCAGTTTTCAAGTTGGTCCAAATCGGGGTCCAAAATTAAACTTTGATTGATTTCAACAAAAATTGAATATATGGGGTTCTTTGATATGCTGAATCTAACCATGTATTTATATTTTTGATTTTTGGGCCGCGTTATCAACTTTGTCCACATTGAGGTCAAAAGGGTCAAAAATTAAACTTTGTTTGATTTCATCAAAAATTGAATTATTGGGGTTCTTTGATATGCCGAATCTAACCATGTATTTAGATTTTGGATATTGGACCATAATAGGTGAATGTCCAATTTAAAATTTTTAAGTTCTTAGACCACATTCATTCTGTGTCAGAAACCTATGCTGTGTCAAATATTTAATCACAATCCAAATGCAAAGCTGTATCAAGCTTGAATGTTGTGTCCATACTTGCCCCAACTGTTCAGGGTTCGACCTCTGCGGTCGTATCAAGCTGCGCCCTGCGGAGTATTTTATTTACCCTTTAATTTTATTTCTTCTTGTGTCTCTATTACATAACATAGTGGGACGTTAAGCAACCAACAATCAATCAATCATTTTTGGTTATCTTTTATTATGACAAAACTTTTTACATTTCATTCGTGACCTTTTAAACTCAATTATACTTTTGCCAAACAAATGAGCAATTTTCACCTGCTATACAAAACATTAACTTTCAATACAATAATATATAAAATGTGACTTGAACGTTGATTTAGCTGTAGCTTATACCTTTAATACATAAGTACATTATAAATATTTGTTTTTAATTTAAGTCCCTCCTTTTTCATCGAATTGAGATAATATTTCTTTTATTCGATCCATACATTTATTTATTCAGTTTATTTAACAATGTTATAGAAAAACATTTATATGCAACACATACGGACAAAAAGACTTCAAAAGATATCTTTGTCTGTACAAGACTCATAAGTTGCGCCCTTATCAACTTAGAATTCTATAAACAGAAAATTTACAAAAATGACCATATCACAAAGTGCTGGGCTGCTGATACATGTACTCATTGGTACGAAATGTCCCCCAAGGAATGGCATAGACCCAGTTGATGATAAACTCATCCAATATACCGTGGTTATTATTTGATTATCTCAGATGGTTCCATTAAAACAAAATACATTTGTGGTTTGGCGATATCTGGCAAAAGCTTATATTCAAAATATAGATTCAACGAAATATATTTATATATTGCTAGATGTATTCAATATATAGATAGATGAATAGTTACCTCAGATAATATGGAAACCTTTCAGATACATGGATATATATAAATGCACCGTGGGATACACGGGTGATTGTAGATTAAATTTAGAATGCACCGTGGGATACACAGGTATAAATATCCAAAAACCTAAAATGTCATAGTTTCACCAGTATATTAGATATTAAAATTCAGATTATATGCAGCGCATTCTGCCATATAGACAGAGGAAAACAGAGACATAAAGGGACGGTTCGCTGCAATGCTGTGAGCCAGGTACCTTTAAAAGTGTATGATAACAACTGATGAAAGACATATTCACATACATGGGTAAATCAGTAACAATTATCTATAACAAAGCCAAACTATCAATCATTGTATCAAAACTATAATTTAACAGGATGGAAAAGTCAAACCACCGTCACTCCTCAAAATAAAATGTTCAAAAGCTCCTTGCAAAATTTTTAAAAACAAATCTTTTCCGAGTGGCGACAAGTGAACCCCATCAGGTTTAAAAAAATATTTGCCCACAGCGAATCACAAAGTCTGCTACAGAATGTTTTATCCTATATCGGCAAAGACCTATGACATTTCGGTCATCACAGTTACGCCATTTTAAACGGGTCAAAATTTGAGACCATACTAACTTCATGTTTGGGAACTCGTGCGTAACCCGCCGAATCACATTCTTTATTTCATTTCTCAAATAAACCAATTTTACTATTTCCAAGGTCATTACTAGTTACATGAAGTATTATAAAATGCGGTGGATCCTCAAAATTTCTCATTATTCTTAGTTGACCTTTAACCTGATCAACACCATGTCACTCTTATCCTCACTACAAACCAGTAAAAGTCTGAAATGGCCTATATAGATATAGGAAGATGTGGTATGAGTGCCAATGTGACAACTCTCCATCCAAGTTACAATTTATAAAAGTAAACCATTATAGGTCAAGGTACGGCCTTCAACACGGAGCATTGGCTCACACCGATCTGTACTCGAATGTACTGATTCTTACTCGACCAGTCTGAATTGGTCTGAATTTTATTCGATATTACTCGATCCCAATCTTAACCATACTCGACTACTGATTTGTACTTGACCCTTATCTTTGCCATTGAAAAAAATCTGAACTATTACTCTACCAGTCTGAAACAGTCTTAACCCATTTTCGACCTGTACTCGACCTATACTCGACAAGTTCTCGACCTATTTTTTCAGTCTGAACCATACTCGACCAAATGTCTGAACCAAACTTGACCAAAGTCTGAACAATACTTGACCAGTCTTAACCATATACTTGTCCAAATAACCTTTACTTTTTAATTTTAACTCTTTATATAACTATCATTTAAATTGACATGACAACAGCCACAATAAAGTAAAGATATATTTACAGATTTTTACATCCTTACATGATTATCAGATTTATTAAATCGAGATAGTCAAATTATCTAATCTTAAAGTCTAAATCTTGGTAATCTTAAATAAAACTACATAAGTTTCATGGTAACATACAATAGTTATATAACTATCTTTTTAACTGACGTAACAACAGCCAACAAAATCACTGAAATTGTTTAACCTTATATCAGAAATAAATCTATTTTTATTATAATTTGGCATATTTATATATATATCTAAAAGGGATAAAGAAATTATTTAAAATTGTTCTTCTGATCAGAGGTAAATTATAAAGTAATACCTCCTACTAGGTGCACATTCATTAAAAAGAGCACACCTTGTCAGATA